TATTAGACTTTAAATCAACTAATAGAATATATATGTTATATTAATGAATTACTGAATACAATATAGCAATAATCGGTGTTGAAATGCTTAGTCTAGACATTCGTGGATCCATAGAACTTCAGAAATTTTGATTCTCAACAATTCATTCCAAAAATAGATCAGATTAATTATAAGCAAAGATAGATAGTGGCTAGCAGTAGAATCCAGTTTGACACGCATTTCATCCTATTTGGGACTCGGCAGCTGGATGAACCTGCAACTTAGAGTTGATGTTCACTCTCGAACTCGAACTCATATTAATTTAATTGATATAGTTTACTTGAATCTTCTCATTGATGTTTAGGACTGTAATTGATCAGTCTCTTATTGGTAATATATACATCCTGTACGGATTGCCTCGATATTGCCTTAAGTCACAAGCATACTAAACAAAAATAGATGGTAGCTAGCAGTGGAATCCAGAATGCACGTTTCATCCCATTTAGAACTCATCAGCTGGATGTATCTGCATCTCAGAGTTGATGTTTACTTAAGATTAGGATAATTATATTCAATAAAATCTTAAATGAAGTAATCATCCACTAAATAAATGTACATAACATTATCCAAAAATGCATGATGCCATACACATATTGACCATTAAGAGAGAAGAATACATAATCTCTTTCTACAATAACATTTTCCAAAGTATTCATTTTTTGTATTGATTGTTTGAACTTCACTCCATTGCATAAGCTAATGGCTATCTAGACTTAGTAGTTAAATGGATAACTTGATGGCATTTGAAGCGAAAGGTACTGGGTTCGAGTCTCAGAGTGAACATCAACTCTAAGATACAGATACATCCAGCTGACGATTCCCAAATAGGACGAAACGTACGTCCTAGATTCCACTGCTAGCTACTATCCATCTTTGCTTATACTTACTTACTTACTCACGCCTGTTACTGCCAATGGATTATAGGCCAAAGACCAGCATTCTCCAACCTGCTCTGTCATAGGCCTTGCCTTCTAGTTCTATCCAGTTTTTGTTCATTCTTCTCATGTCTGTCTTTATTTCTCAGCGTAATGTGTTCTTTGATCTTCCTCGTCTCCTTTGACTTCCAGGATTCCATATGAATTGCTTGTCTTATGAGTCAATTGGGTGTTTTCCTCAAAGTGTGCCTAATCCACTTCCAGTACTCCTTCCTGATTTCTTCCTCCACTGAAATCTGGTTTGTTGTCCAGATATTGGATTCGAGTACCAGAGTGAACATCAACTCTGAGATATAGATACATCCAACCGAAGATTCCCAAATAGGATGAAACGTGCGTCAAACTGAATTCCACTGCTAGCTACTAGCCATCTTTGCTTATCATTATCTCTAAATTTGTTTTTTTTTTCTTCATTATTCTCTCACATTGAGCTGTTAATAATCCAATGTTTAAACTAATGAATAATTCATTGTTAGGTTGTTGTTGTTGTCAGGTTGGTGTTGTTGTTGTTATGGTGGTGGTGGTGATGGTGGTGATTTATGCTACAGTTGTTGTTGTTGTTGTTTCTTTTTTTACATTATGAAATGACAAAAAATAAATACTATAATGAATTAGATTGTGGTTGAATATGGTAAACCATATTGTGTTTTTTAAACTTCTCTTTTGTTACTAACTAATGTATATCCGGTACTAATGTAAATATTTAACTTATGTCTAGACAATTATTGTACATATATGGTATAATCTATAATACAGAATAATATATTAATCATTTGTTTTGTTATTGTTCTTAATTTATCCCATTTAAAGGAGAAGAAAAAGAAAGAATACATTGTAGTAATCTTAGTATTATTATTAGAAAGGGTTGTTTCATTTTAGTATTGAACTTCTCAACAGTGAACGATCATGATCCCGTCTCGTGAGATTGGAATCCAGGACCTATCAGTTACGTGTGTAAGCGTTTAATCTATAAACCACTGAGCTGGTCGATATCCAACAGTGTTATTATCTAACTTCAACTAATCCACGAAATTGAGCAATCATGCACCATTATCTTCAGTGAGTTGTTATCTCACGACAGATCAAGTTGAACTCCACTGGTCACTGTTCTTTACTAGAACTTCACGAAATACCTGTTGAAGTCAGTTACTAGTGAGCAATATGACTATTATCAGTAGGAGGGGGGGTGTTGTGGAGATTGAACTAGTTTTAATAGTTGAATTCATAAGTTGATTAAACCTAGACCATCATAGAAAACTTGGAAGCACTGGAAAACTGTTTCATCTTAGTATTGGACTTTTCAACAGTGTACACCCACGATCCCATATATGGGATTCAAAACCAGGAACTTCAGTCTCGCGCACGAATACTTAACCTCTAGACTACTGAGTCGGCATCTAATAGTGTTAATGTCTAACTTCTATCGATCTATGAATAACTCCGGAACTATGAAGTCTACTACTTTCTAATTGTATTTCGAATAAATTTGGTTTTATTATATTGTCAGATAAATTTATGAACAGATGCTAGATTACTATAAAATTCAGGGTACAACATGTTTATCTTTTTTCAAAATATTTTCTTATTTCAATAGTTGAGATCGTGAGTCAATGGAAGCTAGATCACCATCGAAAACTTATCGTGGGACTCCTCAGAAGTGTGAATACACGACCTCGCCTCGCGAGATTCGAACCCAGAACCTACCAGTCTCGCTCTGGAGCACTTAACGGATAGACTACTGAGTCGGCATCCAATTGTGTTAATGTCTAACAATACCATCGGATGCCAACCTATCAGTTTCCAGGTTTTCCTTTGTGGTCTAGCTTCAATTGACTTATGCTTTCAACTATACAAATACTAAACCTCCACAAAAAAATCCTTTCTGAAACTTAAATGTATATGATAGTTATGAGATCGGTTTAATCGGTGTTCTTTTTGTTAAAAGAGATCATTATCCCGTGTGATATATGATCTATTTAAGAGAAAATTAGTCTATGTTTGAATAACTTCTTACAGTTTTTAAAGTATTTGTAAGAGACGGTTGTATAATAACCAAGATCTAACAATAATAGAATTAAAAAAGACCTCAATATCATAAACATTTTTATAAGATATGAGTGCCTACTAATCATGACATCAGTAATAATATTGTGGTGTGTGCTACTGATATCAACAGATATAAGTAGTATGTATTATCAATCAAAAGTGAAATGTCTGGTAGCAAAAAGTTAAGAAGATCTAAGAGAAGAGAACGAGTACAGAGAATGGTCGATATAGAAATGAAGGAACTATGAAGTTTGAGATCATTAATTGACATTTTGTAAATCAAGTATTTACTCTATGGTTGTCAGATTTTACTAAGAAATTCTGTAATTTTGTATTCAAGTACATTTGATTGCCCGTTCCCCCCCTCTCACTTGTGTTCTCATTCATTACACTATGGTTTTCTTAAAAGTTCAAGCTGAACAAATAGAAAAAATGGAACTAATTCTTACTGAGTTACATTTATGACCAACTCTGTATCAGATGAGTTAAGCTTTGCATACTGATTTTATCTATTATATCATATAATTTACAGTACATGGTAGTGTAGTGAACAGATCACTACTGGGGACAATCGAATGGAATCACAATTGATTGATCACTGGGTGGTGATCAATCTCATGCGTGTCAGGTCCTTCTTAGTGCTGATCGAATGCTATCGATCGAGTTGCAATGTGACCACCAGTTTAGGTGGCTCGACACTGCTTGCACTATGTATATTGAGGTAAGATGGTAGTTGGAGGTGGTCAACAGGAAACTCGATCGATAGCATTCGATCAGCACTAAGAAGGACCTGACACGCATGAGATTGATCACCACCCAGTGATCAATCAATTGTGATTACATCTCAGTCCTACAGGAGGTTGGTCGCGGCCCGAATAGCTCAGTGGTAACGTCTCTGACTGTGAAGCTGAGTGACGCGGGATCGAATCTGCCAGGGAGCATCAGTTCCCTCAGGATTACAGGTACACCTTGCTGACGAGTGCCAAGTAGCACGAAACCCGGGTCCAGGGTTTCCTGTTGACCACCTCCAACTACCATCTTACAATCGAATGGATTTAAGCAAAGATTACAGACTATCTCAGTAAATTCTGATAACCAAACAATGAACAGTCAATTTGCAAAATAACAACCAATTGTTTCAATCTTCACTGTTTCTTCTCTAATTTCATTGCTCATGCATTTTCCAAACGGTTGCGCTTCATTTCAGTTCTTTCCTCATCGGTCTTCTGCAAAAATACATTCTATGTCTGACCCACACCATATACTACTTATATGTATATAAGTAGACCACACCACAGTAGTATAGTAGACTGTTTCAATTAATCTTAATGAATTTAAACATTTCCTTAGGTGGATTAGGTGAGACTTCATTTCATGGACGAACTTTGAGTGACGCTAGACTGACCTTAAAAATGTCCACCTAATAACCAAGACCAAATGAGACTTATGATTTACAGTTGATAGTTAAGATTAGGAATTAGATTTCAAGTCTTCATCACGAACTGATACCAATTATATAATGTCAAAACTGTATTTATCCAAATGGATGAGTAAGTTTCGCACCAAAATCCAAGATCTATTATCTTAAACGTGATTGATTCGTTCATAAATTATAATCTCGCCTTGAATTTTAGTATTTTAATGAACTGGGAGATATCAACTCATTGAAGACATTGGTAAATGGTTGTTCAATATCGTGGATTTGTTGTGGTTGGATGCCGGCCAGCTTAGTGGTTTGTCGTTTAAGTGCTCTGGTGCAAGACTGATTGGTTCTGGGTTCGAATTTCGTGAGATGGGATCGTGGATGCGCATTGCTGAGGAGTCCTACAATAGGACGAAACGACAGTCCAATGCTTTCGGGTTTTCCATGATGGTCTAGCTTTAATTGACTCATGATCTCAACTATCACATCAAAATATTACCATTTCAAATATGATTCTTTAATAAAAAATTTTTATTCTTAATCATCATATAACTTACCACTACAAAATTCTGGTTTTTTCAATCCAACAAATTTATCACTTAAACAATTAACAACATGAAGAAAACATGTATTACGATAAGTTTTCCCATTTGATCCACAAACAACTGGCCAACCATATGTTTGAACTGGTGTTTTCCATACAGGATCACCAAATATTTGTGTTTTCCTTTTTCCTAATATTCCCGTCGATGATGATGATGATGATGAAGATGTTGATGAAGTTAATGTTTCTTGTCCATTTCTAAATGATGCATTACAATCTAATGGTAATTTAGCACAATCCATACAAATTGGTTGACCAGTTAAATGATGTGGACTACATCTCATATCAGGTCTTGGACATTGAATATCAGAACAAGTTACTTTACCTGTAGATAAAATTAAACGAATTTAGTTAAAAACATGAATCATTCAAATAGATTATTGCTTCGTTAACACAATGATGATGAAATGATCAATCTACAGTAACCTATAGTTTCCTTTCAGTAGAAGCCATAACATTGACCTTATTTATACTCTGATAGTAATTTAAGTGACTGTGATCAGAAAGGGTTTTGTGGAGATTTCAGTACTTTATATAGTTGAAATCATGAGTCAATTGAAGTTAGACCACCATCGAAAATCTGGAAGCATTGGACGACCATTTCGTCCTATTATGGCACTTCTCAGCAGTGCACATCTACGATCCCGTCTCGCGAGATTCGAATTCAGGACCTACCAGTCTCGCGCCAGAGCACTTAACAGATAGATCGTGATGATTATTAAAACACGTTCGAATAGTATAGAGAATATCAGTTTTCTCATGACTTCAAGTGAACATTTTTCGACGAATGTCAGCAAGCATGAAACTGAAGTGGAGGGTTGATTTTAGTCACTTAACATAGTTTAGATAATGGTTAGATGTAAATTTCGAAAACATTGAATTATTCATATGAGAACTTCTATACCTACAGAAATTAATCAGTTTGATCTTAAAAATTGAAATAGGGAAAATTCAATCATTTATTTATTTATTTAAACACATAAATATTGGTACAAAGGGGCACCATATATATATGCCACACAAATCTCATTTGATTTGTGTGAGAGCTGTGATACTACCATGGTGCACAAACCGAAATAGGTGATTTTCTTAGTGAGCCACACCCGGAGTGTTTGACCTAGAGGTCTAATCCACAAGGCAGTGGAGCATCGTGAGGAGATTCAGTCCCATGGTAGCCGGTGACCAACAATTGATTCATACGCCATTTGTTCCTTCAAGATACTGGATCCCATGTGCACCATTGGTTTGGAGTTGTGGTTTTCCAACTCCCCTAGGTGGACATGGAGAGTGTTTTACAACCCGGTTAAAGCGCCGGACATTGACTTTACGTCCTCTCAATTTCGTAAACAACAGTAATGCCACGAGAAGGCAGTGAGTAGGACTTCCCTGACAGAGGCCAGGTAGGGTGACTACCCTCTATCATGTGCATTCCGACAACATTTCCAAGTGGACTATTATTACTGAATTGATTCAAATGAAAACAAGACAAAACACTGTTAAACACTAATCTAATGTGCCATTTAAGGGGACGTATTTTTGTCAAAATATGATTTGCTTAATAGGGAGAATTCATTTGGGATATTACTGGAAGTCAGAAATCACTGAATAAGCATTCTTTTTTAATGAGAATTATCAGTTGTTCATATTCACAACCGCCCGTAGAAATGGAGCTTTGAACATTTAAGTGCTGAGATGAGTTTGATAGACCAGAGGTTTGAAATAAAATAATTCACATCTCCAACAGTAGTCAATTAGCAGTATACTGTGACCGTCATCTATCCTCAAAAATGCTAACTGTTTCACTCACAAAATATTATGGGCTACCTCTCCTGAAATTGTAGATTTCCCTTACTCATAAGTGCTAATTAGTATAAAATCTAAGTTAAAGAGGGCTTTCTACTGACTCTCAAAAATCACCTAGTGTCCGAATAGCTTACTGAAGTTTAAACAGTCCAACTGAATAACAATTATAGGGTTAAATATCAGGTCAAACGTGAAGGAAATCAAAATAAATATACAGACAATAACAGGACAAGGTCCAGAAACAACCAACAGAGATTTAGGCTAGCATATAAGATAGTTTGCTTCTGTCTGATATTGGTCCTGATGATCTAGTCCACATGACCACTCAGATCAAAGAACGAAGCTTTCATAAAACCAATCTCTTCTTACTAACATTGGCTTAAATACCATAGAATTTCAGATCAGCTGTATAGTCTACCCAAATCTAGCGATTAAACTACTATTTATTTTCAGAAGGCGGTTTTGTGGAGATTTTAGTAATTTTATATAGTTAAAATCATAAGTCCATTGAAGCTAGACCATCATGGAAAACCTCAAAGCACTGGACGATAGTTTCGTCCCAGAATGACAATCCTCCTTAGCATCGCGTATTCACGACCCTGCACACGGGATCCGAACCCAGGGCCTTCGGTTTCGCTCGCAAACATTTAACCTCTAGACAGGTATCTACGTCAGACAATGGGTGAATAGTTGTGCAACTAATCATGGATCGATGAAATTTAGACATTAACACTATTAGATGCCATCTCAGTTGTTTAAAGGTTAAGTGTTCGTGCGCGAGATCGAAGGTCGTGAGTTTGAATCTCGCGAGGCGGAATTGTGGACTCGCATTGCTCATCATTCCCAGAATAGGTGAAACGGTTATCCAGTGCTTCCAGGTTTTTCATAGTGGTTTGTCTTCGATTGACTCATGAATTTAACAATTAAAATACTACAATCTTTACAAACCCCATTCGGATAATATTGTTTTCATCGAAATAGTAAATTATGAATGTGGATCTACATTTAGAACACTATGAGACATTATTGGGATCGTATAACAAAATAATTAAACAAATATTATGAAATTTACTTAGTATTGTTTAAATTCATTCAGCATTGTTTGTTTGAATCTTCCCATCGATTTGTTAGGACTGCAACTGGTCAGTTTCTAATTGGCATATGTGCATACTGTGCGTATTGCCTCAATATAGCCTTAATTCACAAGCATGGTAAGCAGAGATGGATAGTAGCTAGCAGTGAAATCTAGGATGCACGTTTCATCCTATTTGGGACTCGATAGCTGGATGTACCTGCATCTCAGAGTTGATGTTCACTCCGGGACTCGAACCTAGTACCTTACGCTTCAAACGCTATCGCATTATTTAAACAAACCATACTAAGTGAATTTAAATTTCACCCCACTGTACAAGCTAGTAGCTATCAGGACTCAGTAGCTAAATGCATAACATGATGACATTTGTATTGAATGGTACTTGGTTCAAGTTTCAGAGTGAACATCAACTTTAAGATGCATGTACATCCATCTGATGAGTCCCAAATAGGACGAAAAGCGCATCAAACTGGATTCCACTACTAGTCACTATTCATCTTTACTTATAAATATTATGAAAATTAGCCAAACTCATTTATTCAAATGAATGGAAACTTACTTCTACATTCACCTTTATATGCAATTCTTACTTCTAATTGATTTTTTAATCCAGTTAATTTAAGATCACAACTATTATAAAATGTTTGATTATCTGTACTACATATTGGTTCATTAAATGTAGAATCTGGACAATTATTTAATGTTTGCCATGATTGTTCATTCCAATATTCACATGATGGACGTCCATCAAATTGTCTTAATAAACAATATTCATTAGCATTACATATTAATTCTTTAGATAATTCATCATTAGTATAAGGGGACTTCTCATCGAAAATAGATTCATCATTCATTTTATCAATATATGTTTTGAGATTTGTTGATGTTCTACGATTCATAATGATGACACTGTCATCTTCATTGTCCGTATATTCTTGATTATCTGTTGATGATAGTGATGATTTTGTTGTTGAAGTTGATGAAGGCAATGATGATGATGATGATGGTAATGAAGGTACACCTTTTCTTTCTTCATATTCAGCATATAATGTTTTAAATAGGGAATTAAGATTTAAATTTTTTTCAGATAATATACTTAAATCTGAACATCGTAAACCTTCATCTGGACATGGTATTACTTCAAGACTTTCTTTTGGTGATTTACAACGAGCTTGTTTTAAATGGCATTGATTATGAAATCGTCTTAAATTAGTTGTACATAATGGACCAGTTAAATAATCTGCTGTATTACATTGAAGACGACATTTGCATTTTGGTTCATTATTAATCATACGACAATAATGTCCTTCAGGACATACATATCCTTTACATGTTGAAGGTAATTCTAAATGAAAGAGATAATAGAGAGATGTGATCAACACATTGGTTGAAAGGAAATAAGTGGCTATCAGGACTCACTGGCCGAGTGGATAACGTGATGGTGTTTGAAGCGAAAGGTACTGGGTTCGAGTCCCAGAGTGAACATCAACACTGAGATGCAGGTACATCTAGCTGACGAGTCCCAAATAGGATGAAACTGGATTCCACTGCTAGCCACTACCCATCTTTGCTTATCATGAAATAAATGAAGGTTTCAGGATCATCTTCAATAGTAGAATAAAACAATCTTATGTAAACTAGATCAGAAGAATGTTCAATACGATTTGGATTAAGATAGATTACTTTCATGTCAAACGTTTAATCGTAGTTTAACAACCAAATTGACTGATGTGAATATAGATCAGAAGGGGTTTTCCGGAGATTTCAGTATTTTTTTTGTTATTTGAAATCATGAGTCCATTGAAGCTAGATCACCATGAAAAACCTGAAAGTAATGGACGGACGTTTCGTCCTACTATGGGACTCCTCAGCAGTGCTCAACTCCGCCTGCAGCTCTTTTAGAGTTACTTCCGGTCCCATGCCCGGGTAAAGGAGGAGGGTTGGGCATGTGGTTAGCGACCCCATCCTGTAGAAAAACTAACCCGTTAAAAGAACGCTAACCAGAAAAAATAATTCAGTCCATTTAAACTTTGTCCTGGGAGTTGAAGGAATAAGTAGATATGAAAAAGATGAATAATAACTGGAAAGAACTGGAAAAGATTGCCCAGGACAGAGTTGGGTGGAGAATGCTGATGGGCGGCCTATGCTCCTCTACGAGGGGTAACAGGCGTAAGTAAGTAAGTAAGTCAGCAGTGCTCATCCACGATCCCGCACTGATGATGGTGTGAATATAACCTAAACTATAAGAAATATTGGCTTATTGCAAAATGTTTCAAGTTGTTAGAGATAGTCAGTGTAAAGTTAAGAACTTTCTATTTAGTTAACACTTAGAAACAATCTATGATCATGAGTTTACAATGGAACTTGAAGAGAAATTTGTCAGAATATCTACTAGAAACTTCAGCTTGGTTGACATACATTCCCTCCCTCAGTTCTAGGTAACTTTAGCCTACTAACACCATGATACAAATGCCACCATTCAGAACTTTTAACTGATTATAAGTATATGGTTGTTGTCTTTGCACACGTTTCTAGAACAACACATAACCTGTTGGGAAAACTGTGTACAAAGACTGTCAAAAAGTTGCTGATACTTGACAGAAAGCTAGGGAAGGTTGTATACTGCACTGACTAGGGAATATCCCCTCTAATTTATTGTTTCTTTGACACAGTCATCAATTGTGATGAAATATGGTATTACATTAAGCCTGATTTTCAAATACTTCTAGGAATGTTTTAAACTTTGGTAACTGAGAAGAAACAAGTCTATTACTATAAAGGTCGGCTAAAGGGTATAAGATTGACTTGCCTCAATTTTTGGAAACTAAATTTTTTGTCTAATCTCTTTGTGTCGTAGTCATTGAATATTCAATTCAGGTTGAGCAAATTGATCTTAAAACCAAGTCCTTTGCAGCGATTCTCTTAATTTACTACTCAATTGAACCTGTTAATCACTTGACATTGCTACATTGTCATGTAAAAACAGTTAAGCACTAGAATGGACTTCATTTGAACAAACCAGATTCTAGTGGAGAAAGAAATTGGGATGAAGCACTGAAAGTGGATAGGACACACATTGAGGAGAGCAGTCAACTGAGTCACAAGGCAAGCCCTCATCACTTGCAATCCTCAATGCCAAAGGAGAAGAAGAAGAAGACCAAATAACACATTACGCCGAGAAATAGAGATAGATATGAGAAGAATGAACAAAAATTGGATAGAAGTAGAAAGGAAGGCGCAGGACAGAGTGGGTTGGAGAATGTTGGTCTTCGGCCTATGCTCCATTGGGAGTAGCAGGCGTAAGTAAGTAAGTACATGAGCATTCGCTTATCTAAATCCTTTATTTTCACAGTAAACTATTAATCTGTAAAAATTACTAGCTGACTTAACTTTAGCCACCAGAAATCATATTTCATCACGGATTTATTAAATTGACATTACAATATAAATAGATTGAAAGTTAAGAAGTGACCAATTTCATTGTTTATTTGTTCTTATTCCTAATAGAATTCTCCTTACCGGATTATAATCGGATCAGCATTGAAACCAAGACAACGATGAAATTGATTATTATTCAGTATCAAAATCTCAATTCTACAGGGAGTAAGCTACAGTTCGAGTTGTGTTATGGTAACTTTTTTTGTAACTGTAACACTAGATAACATCCTTTCGAATACCACGGATAACATCAGCTCTGCCCCCAGGATCACAAATATGCTTCGACTAGAAAAAAATCCTTGTTCAAGTAAAATTTTCTATAATATTTATTTTCACCTTGACTCGAAACGCATGACATTGATCATCACCCAGTGATCAATCAATTGTGATTACATCTCAGTCCTTCAGGAGGTCGGTTGCGGCCCGAATAGCTCAGTGGTAAAGTTTCTGACTGTGAAGCTGCGTGATACGGGATCAAATCCGTCAGGAAGCAACAGTTCCCTCAAGATTACAGGTACACCTTGCTGACGAGTGCCAAGTAGCACAAAACCCGGGTCCAGGGTTTCCTGTTGACCACCTCCAACCACTATCTTATCTCAACATAGTGCATGCAGTGTCGAGCCACCTAGACTAGTGACCACATTGCAACTTGATCGATAGCATTCGATCAGCCCTAAGAAGGACTTAACACACATGACATTGATCACCACCCAGTGATCAATCACTTGTGATATTCACCTACTTAATTCATATCTGTATATAATAATTTTCATAGAAAATGAACTATACCTTCATTACATGCTTGAACACAATTTGGTGTACCAGATTCAAATAATAAATGATCCGTTAAATATTCTTGTTGAGTTATTTGACGATTTAAATAGAATCCACCACGTTTACAACATTCTAATTGTGATATACTCTCTTCCATTAATCCAATACAATTACCACTATTTAAACGTTTTGAAAAACATGATCCAATGGTAACTAAAATAGAAGGAATATATCAATGAATGGTTTAAATTCAATGAAAATGTTACAGATTTTCTTTGCATAATTGATTTACCCAATCATTGATCGGGATCATTATACATGTTATATGAATGTGTATATGAATGGTGCGAATGGTTCAGGGGGGTGTTTGGTACCTGTGTGATTACGCCACAAGATTGAGCTGTACTCTTCTTCCAGAGGGTGGTGTCCAGCTCTCCGGTTTGGGTTGTCACTTGAAAGTGTGAATGGTATCTGGTTCTTCTGAAAACCAATGCAAAATCACCGTGGCTCACAAGGGTATATTATATAATTATATAACCTGTGGAAAGTTAGTTGTAATCCTCATGAAGGATCTCATGAATAACATCTTGAATTGAATTTTGATATCTGTCAACTTGAATTATATCTCTAATAATTATTTACTTTCAATTCTATCAAGATAGATTGACTTACACTATAAATTTGAAGATTCTCAAATAATATGGATAAACACAGTAAATCAAATAGAAAATAACTTAGCAATAGTGTTGTGTATACTACTAATGTTGACAGATATAAGTAGTATGTAACACTAATCAGTAGTGGAATACCTGGTAATAGAAGATTGAGAAGATTAAAATGAAAAGAACATGAAAGGAAATAGAGAGGACAACAGAATTGAAAGAATCATGAAGAATATAAAGAACAACTGAAGGGAGATGTGCAAATAATGTATTTAATGTTTGGTTCTCATATTTTAGGAAAGAAGTCTGTAGTTTGGCATCATGCATTAAATTGGTTTTCCCCACCCGAGTGCTCGCTCCATACAATAGTATTGCACTAGTGTGAGTTGCTTTTACTGTATATCTGATCGCTTATGAGTTATGTAATCCATCTTCGGTAAGCTCAGTCTCCACAAAAAAGGTACTGAATATTTTCGTTTGGTCATGGGAACTCTTTTCTTCTCATCTTCTTATGAAAATTAGTTTATCGACTTTTTAGTCCACACCTCCATTTGTGCGAAATGATTAATATTTCGATTCGAATATCAGACTGTTTTATTTATCTTCTGTGTTAGATAACTGAGTTAATAACATGTTAGTGTCTATAAAGGAAACGCACTTGGTTCGAGTCCTAATATGAACATCAACACTGTGTTGCAGGCACATTCAGCTAACTAGCCTTAAGTAAGATTCCCCACGTTAACTAGAAACCATCTATTTTTTAAATGATTGATCGCATCATTCCAATTAAACCAGTAACTTATAGATTGAAAGTCAAGTCCTTAAATATAAATAAATTATAAATCTATGCATGATAATGATGTTGATGTAGGTTTGTTCTCTGAGGTGGATGGTTTGGCCGTGGAGCTTTCATCATCCTTCGCTCCACGACCAAACCATCAAGCTCAGAGAACAAACCTTCATTAAAATCACCCACCTGAGCTACAAATCTTTTCCACCATCTATGCATGATAAATATTACAGAACCAAGAAATCTACATAAAATATAGAAAAACATAATGTAACATCATTGGATTCCCTTTATAGTATGCACTTTTTCAATGATTCCAAGGAAACACTCCATACTTGATCTCTTCAATCATCTCATGAAATAAGCTAAGTCACATCTATGATGGAACTTGATAAAGAAAAAACTTTCTATGGATATTATGTAATAAGGAAAATGGCTCTTTTCAACTATATCAATCATATAAATAAGAGTCATGATTACTCCAAGAATGATGCGCCATGAATATGCGTGTAAACATTCAACAGTAGTTTCCTGGACTTTTCTAAGCTGTCATTCGTTCACTATGTTAGATTGGTTATTTGTTTTTATTCACTAGACGTGACTCTCTGTAACTTTCATCTTGTTCCCGAAATAATAAATGTTCATATCGGAGTAAAACTGAAAATATATGGAGAAAATAAAACATGGAACGACAGGGTCGGTGAAGTTCTCCCTAACTCTAACAACCAACAAAGGATATTTAGAACAATAAAAAAGATGATATTGTAGTGAACAAGAAGGAACATTGATGTTTAGGACTGCAACTGGTCAGTCTTTAATTTACAATCAGCTGACGATTCCCAAATAGGACAAAACGCGCGTCCTGGATTCCACTGCTTGCCAATATACATCTTTGCTTAAAGGAAATTATCATTTGTACATATTTTACCTTCAAGTTAATTATCATCCTAATATAATTTGGTTATTTATTCTCTGAAGAAGTGGCATATATTGAGCTACGAAACTTCAGAATATATACTATAAGTTGAGTTATATATGGAACCAGTCAGTGAATGATCTTTCAAAACAACTTTCCCATTATTATATATTGTCAGAAGGAGTATTGTACATATTATAGTAATTTTGATAGTTGAGATCATGTATCAATTGAAGCTAGATCATAATGGAAAACCTGGAAGTACTGGACCAGTGGAGTTCAACAAGGTTTATTGTGAGATAGTAACTCACTGAAGACATTTGTGGATGTGTCGTTCAATTTCGTGGATTTATTGAAGTTAGACATTAACATTATTGAATGTCGGTCGGCTCAGTGGTCTAGTGGTTAAGCGCTCACGCGCGAGACTGATAGGTCCTGGATTCGAATCTCATGAGTGCGGGATAGTGTACGCGCACTGCCGAGGAATCCCACAATAGGACAAAACGGCCGTCCAGTGTTTCCAGGTTTCTCATGGTGGTCTAGCTTCAAGTGACTCATGATCTCAAATATTGAAATTTAAAAAATAGCTGAGTAGTTGTAAATATCTTATGGATCAGTTAATGATCACTTATTCTTATTACTTGATTCGAAGATATGAATGTCTCATAGACATATTGACGAAAGATATTGAAAGAAATACTCTTGAACATTGAATAACAACTGAAAATTCGAAAATTCATAGTACATAAAGAAAAAGAAGAAGAAGAAAGATAATCAAAGCAACTAAATTGCAAATAAACAATTTTCTAATAGTTGAGATCATGAATCAATTGAAGCTAGACTACCATGGAAAACCTGGAAGCACTGGACAGCCGTTTCGTTCTATTGTGGAACTCCTCAGCAGGTTTTAAATTCCACTACTAGCCACTAACCATTATTATTTAAAATACTTGTGAATTAAGGCAATATCGAGGTAATCCTCACAGTATACACATATGTCAATAAAATAGAGAGATTGATCAATTGTAGTTCTAAATATCAATAGGAAGATTCAAATAAATAATACAAAAATGAATCGAAATTTCACTTCATTACACAAGGTAGTAGCTATCAGGACTCAGTAGCTAAATGGTTAACGCCATAGTGTTTGAAGTAAACGGTATTGAGCTCGAGTCGTAGCTTGGACATCAACTCTGAGATGCAGTTACATCCAGCTGAAGAGTCACAAATAGACGAAACGTGCATTCTAGATTACATTGCTAACCACTGTCCATTTTTGCTTGTAGTATATTACATGATTGATGGTTGTGGGTATAATATTAATCTTTATTTTATTTCCTTAGTTTTCCCAAAATAGGAACTATCTAATGTTAACAAATTACCTGACAACAACAAAAAAGTAAGTGACCTCCATAAAACATTATTAATCGATATCATCTGTGAGGGGAATTTTATTTCTTTTAGTGGTTTGTTTATTACGTAATGTTAGAAAACGTTACTAATAAATAAAATCAGTAGTAGTAGTTATTTTTACAAATTATAACTTATTATTAATAATTTCATATAGTTGAAATCGTGAGTTCATTGAAGCTAGATCACCATGGAAAACCTGGAAGCACTGGACAGCCATTTCGTCCTATTGTGGGACTCCTCAGCAGTGCGCTTCCACGGTCCCTCCTCGTGAGATTCTAACCTAGGACTTATCACTCTTGTACCTGAGCAAAGAACACTGATACATTTCCTACAGATGTTTACTGATAATTGATTATAAACAAAAAATGGATTATAATAAAGTAATACAAATGTATTCATGATACATAATTGGTTATAGTTATAGGAAGTCCTGTTTTAATTTAAGTTTGATACTATTTGACACATATTACTATGGTTATATATACAATCTTGAAGGAATTAATATTCCTTATTGAGATTCGAGTGTGGATCAACTGGTGTTACAGTTGAAGGAAGTCAATCACAGTCTGAATTAGTTGAATGGTGATGTCTTTAAGTGTCAGTGACAATATAAAGAATTCTCAACACGATATATTACAACAAGTTCTCGTTTCTTATTTCTTGATCGATCCTGGCGGCAAATATTGAGTAATCACCAGTTAGAAGTTAACAGTCCAGTCAATCGACATTTGAATAATGTACACTTATCTTCGTTGCATATTGCCTGCCAGCAACCACGATATCTCTGATTAGGTCTATATGACTTGTACAACAAAAATTTGTACACTTTTCAGAAACTCACCTGACTATGTTATGTGATGAATAGCCATAATGATGTATGAAAACAAACAAAACTAGTTAAGTTATTGAAATATCTAGATGACAAAAATAAGTAGACTGAGTGTTCAAGTATGAAATGATGACGAAAACTGGACTTCCTAACGTTAGTTTAAAATCAGCTAATATAATTATATATTTCAGTTAGCCAGTCAGCTAAAACGTAGGACCAGGCACACACATGCATCAGTCCAAGTTGCCATACCTTATTCACACAACGAGATGAAAACCGAATTCATAGAAGTAGTTCATTTAATGATGGTAATATATAAAAGAAAGTTCGTGTATAAGGATATAGTACAGGAAGAAAGACAGATATGAAGCAATTTTAATCTCACGGTTTAAAGGAAGATAAAAAGTGTATACACCTACACCATTGTGATCGATTCTGAGCCATGTCACTTAGAGTCTCCAACCATTGGTTATGATATTCACACGGACCCCAACCAAGTAGTCTGCATCTACCAACAAATTTTGAAGTGATTGTTTATTTGCAATCAAAAGTGACAACTTTCTTAAAATACCATTGGTCAATCAATTATAATCTTAATCTATACTGACTGACATAATGAATTAGTCAGGTAATATCTAAATAATAATTTATTATCAGAAATAGTATTTTAATAATTATCATGAGGCAAGTCCTAACTTGGAATCCAGAAAGGAATCGGAAAAGAAGAAAACCAAAAAAAAAACATACTACGCCAGGAAATAAAAGCAGATATGAAAAGAATGAATAATAACTGGAAAGAATTACTCAAGATAGGGTTGAATGTAGAAAACTAGTGTATGGCCTATACTCCTCCACGAGGGATAACAATCTAGAACAATATTTAAATTGAAGATCATAAGTTCAAGTCTTACATGAAAGATTATGAATGTATACCACTGAAAGAGGGAATCTTATCCTAGGGGACAAAAACAAAACACCATCATCATTAAATCAAACTAACCTGATGTATTTTCAACATAATCATGAATGGATAAAAAATTGATTATTAAACTGATAAATAATTTTGATAATAAATTTATTTTAATTTTAAATAATCCATAATAGAATATATTAATTTGGTCTAATAGAATCATCATCATTTTTTTTTTTAAAATGTATGTATCTAAGTAACTAGGTATATTTGTTTGTCCCCTTCTAATTTAAAGGTTCTGTTGCCTTGGTTACTACCGTTTATCACTGATAAGTTGTTATTATTATAGTAGTTATAGTACTATAAGTATGAATAGTAGTATCCGTACCTGTATATATATAGATAGATAGATATGAATGGTTAACTAATGATTACGTAACAGTAGTGAATATTTAATGAATGATTACGTAATAGTAATTAATGTTTAATTAGATTCGTTTGTTTGTTTGTTTGTTTATTTTTGTTTATTGTTGTTGTTCTTTTACAAATCATTAAATGATCATTATGATAAATAATTGATATGAAGCATTACCCAAAATTGTCTCTTTTTGATTGTTGACTACGATGATGATAATGATAGTGATGATGATATGTAGACACGAGGAGTTACGTTACCGTATGGATGATTCTACTCGATTGCTTTTATAGTTGAATGTATACATAGAAACACACACACACTCTCTCACACACACACACCATCTCTCTCTCTCTATTTGGTATACATGCACACACACAACCATGTATAACTATACATGATAAACATAAAGTGACACTAACAGATTCCATATAATAAATAATGAAAAAAAATAAAACAACAACTGACCAATACATAGTTAGTTGACTAATTCAATGTGGACTATTGAGAAATGGTTGTTTGTTTGTTCAATGATCCGATCGCTTGTTTGTTTGTTTGTTTGTTTGTTATTGTTGATTTTTGTTTTCATCATTTATTTGCTTAAATAAATTAACAATTCAGACAATCAGGTTATATATAAAGAGAGAGAGAAAGAGAGAGAGTGAGAAAGAGGGGGTAGGGAGAAAGGGAGGGAGAGAAAGACATCATTTTATTCACGCCTACATTACTGAAGGAAATATACCCTTTTTGGTACAATTATACTCTCTCTATATACATAAAATACATTTTACAGCAAGATAGTAAGTAGTATTATCATAAGTAATATAATGGTGAATAATAATGATTGTGATATTGATGTTAGATTTTCATAGTTGAAATCGTGAGTCAATTGTAGTTGGACCACCATGGAAAACCTGGAAGCATTGGACGGCCGTTTTGTCCTATTATAGGACTCCTCAGAAGTACGCATACGCAATCGCGCCCCGTGAGATTCGAATCCAGTACCTACCAGTCTCTACTCATGGCCTTCTCGTGGCACTACTGTTGTTTACGAAATTGAGAGGACGAAAAGCGAATGTCCCACACTTTAACCGGGTTAGTGGACACTCTCCATGTCCACCTAGAGAAGTTGGAAAACCCTGATTCCAAACCAATGGTAGACATGGGCTCCAGGATTCTGAAGGAACAATTAGCGTATGAACCAAGTATTGGTCACCGGCTACCATAGGACTGCATCTCCTCACAATGCTTTGTAGATCAGATCTTTCGGTCAAAGGCTCCGGGTGTAGGCCCCTAAGAAAACCACCTGCGTCAGTTTTGGTACCTGGGCAGTATCACAGCTTTCACACAAATCAAATGAGATTTGTGAGGCGCATATTTATCTGTTGCTTCCTTGTACCAATATTTCTGTGTTTAAATAAATAAACTAAAAGTCTTGCGCCAGAGCACTTAACCGATAAACCACTGAGCTGACCGGCATCCAACGGTGTTAATGTCTAACTTCAACCAATCCACAATGTTTGAGCAACCAATCACCAATTGTCTTCAGTGAGTTGATATTTCTACAACAGACGTGCTCGAACTCTACTGGTCACTGCTTCCCACTAGAACTGAAGGAAATATGCCTTGAAGTCAGTCACAAATGCGCATATTATTCCAGGTTTTCCATGATGGTCTAGCTACAACTGACTCATGATTTCAACTATGAAAATACTGTAATCTCTACAAAACCCCTTCTGATGTTTGATTTATGTGTGATCCCTTCATCATGTCACAGGAAAACAATGTACATATATCCACACACATACACAAACACGCGCGCGCGAATTTACATTCATATAAACTATAGAGATGATGTAATAATGTGTATAGGGATAGTAACAAAAAAATAGTACCGACTTATGAGAATAAATTACACACATGTATACACACATATATTTTTATCATACATATATATATCAAGCGACAAAATGAAACGATGATGAAATAATTGGGTCAGTACAATGACAGATCACCATATCACAATAGTTTGTAAACTGTTTTTTTTGGTGTGTAAAAGTAACATTGTTTACTTGTTATAGAATATTGTTATAGAATATTGTGGGTTCGAATCCCGCTCATGAGGTGAGATCGTGAATGAGCACTGCTGAGGAGTCCCGCGAAACGGTCGTCCAGTGTTTTCAGGTTTTATATGATGGTCTAGCTACAACTGACTCATGATTTCAACTATGAAAATACTGAAATCTCCACAAAACCTCTTCTGGCAATAACATATGCCAGATTTATAGGCAAAAACATAGACATTGATACTGATGATCTACTCATTTATAATTACGATATGAGTTGGCCTCCTCTATATGCATTTATAATTTTAGCTACTCCCGTGAAGATAGCTATATTGGGCGTACTACTAGGTGATTTAACCAATGAATGAGTGAACATCTACCAGCATGGTTTGGGAAGGGCCAAATAAGAACAATACGCAGTTCTATCTTTGCACATCTAATTGATAGTGGTTATAATGTAGATAAATCGAAATAATTTCAAGTGATCTATCGTATACCTCCATCTTTTCCCAACGAAGTTCGTTCACGTCTCCTTCATATTAGCTGAAGCCATAGGAATTCGTACATTCCATCCTAATTTATGTGCACAGAAGAAATTCGTAACCTCCCTATCCCTTCCACGGCCGGATATAACTTGACAAATGACATTATTATTCATAGTTGAAAGCGTGAGACAATTGAAGCTAGACCACCGTGGAAAACCTGGAAACACTGGACGGCCGTTTCGTTCTATCATGGAACTCCTCAGCAGTGCGCATCCATGAACGTCCAATGTTTCCAGGTTTTCCATGGTGGTCTAGCTTCAAATGACTCATGCTTTCAACCATGAAAAATACTAAATCTCCACAAAAACTCCTTCTGATATTATTATTAATTTTAAATTTTGTTGCCGTTTATTTGCAATTTTCTGCCTCTTTCCATTTATATTCTTCACTATCTAATTACTTACATATTTCTTATTACGTAATGATTTTAAGGTTTTGTGATGACTATTCTAAGTCTATTTATCCACGTTTGACCTCGTATTTCCAGTGTTCAACTATTGATATGACTTTTGTTATCGTAATTTATTATTCTTACTACTATCAGTACGCCCAAGATAGGGTTGGATGAAGAACGCTGATAGTCGGTCAATGCTCCTACACGAGGGGTAGCAGGCGTAATTAACGTAAAGTGAAAAGTGCTATCAGAATATCTGTCTTCCCACTATCAACTTGTATTTTTATCTATTATGCTCGGTGACGTATTCTATTTCATTGTGATTATTGACTCAAATAGCCTTAATTGGTTTAACAATTTGGTATAAATACTCATGTATATTAGAGTAAATCCTGATGATGAGCTAATTTAAAACAATATACATAATTCTGATAAACTTCGTCTTCTCATTGCATTAACAAAAACAATATTGTTCACTTACATGTGTTGTTCTGATATAATAATGATTGAATTTAAGTAAATAGTAGAGAAGAGCTTACTTACTTACTTACGCCTGTTACCCCCAATGGAGTATAGGCCAAAGATCAGCAATCTCCAACCCACTCTCTCCTGGGCCTCCCTTTGTAGTTCTATTCAACTGTTGTTCATTTTTCTCATGTCTGTCTCCATTTCTCGGTATATTATGTTTTTTGGTTTTCCTCCCCTACTTTAGCCTTCAGGATTCCATGTGAGGGCTTGCCTTGCGATGCAGTTTGGTGCTTTCCTCAATGTGTGTCCTATCCACTTCCAGTGCTTCTTCCTGATTTCTTCCTCCTCTGAAATCTGGTTTATTCCCTCCCACAGCAGAATGTTGTTGATAGTGTCTGGTCAACGAATTTGAAGTATTTTACGTAGAAGACTGTTAATGAACACCCGTATCTTCTGGATGAAGGCTTTAATAGTTCTCCAGAATTCAGCCCCATACTGTAGAACTGTCTTGATATTTGTATTGAAAATTCTGAATTTAGTGTTAGTTGACAATTGTTTTGAGTTCCAGATGTTCTTCAATTATAGATATGCTGCTCTTGCTTTGGCGAATCACGTCTTCGCATCTGCATCTGATCCACCGTGTTCATCAATGATGTTGCCCAGTTATGTGAAGGTCTTCACATCCTCCAAAGCTTCTCCATCAAGTGTGATTCGATTGGTACATGTTGTATTGTATCAGAGAATCTTGTTTTTCCCTTTGTGTATGTTGAGACTTACTACTGCTGAGGCTGCTACTGCACTGGTCGTCTTCTACTGAATTTGTTGTTGCGTGTGTGATAGAAGAGTCAGATCATTTGCGAAGTCTACATCGTCTAGCTGCATCCTGACTGTCCACTGCATCCCGTATTTCCCCCGAGATGTTGACGTCGTCATAATCCAGTCAAGCATTAGGATAAAGAGGGCGGGTGAGAACAAGTAACCTTGCCTGAACGAGTTTGTCAACCGCTATCCATGCACGATTTAGCGTTTTAATCCATCATAAGAATTCCGTATAATGTTGATTATCTTCTCAGGGACTCTGTAGTGTTAAAAAGAAGCTTCCATCGTGTTGTCTTGTCCATGCTATCAAATGCTTTTCCTGGTATTCAGAATGAATAACGTGATGGTGTTTGAAGCGGACGATACTGGGTTCGAGTACCAGAGTAAATATCAAATATGAGATACAGGTATATCCAGCTAACGAGTCCCAAATAGAACGAAACGCGCGTCCTTGATTCCAATACCAGCCACTATCCATCTTTGCTCATAAAGCTTGTGACTTCAGGCAATATCGAGGCAGTCCGCACAGGGTACACATATGCCAATACGAGACTGATCAATTGCAGTCCTAAATAACAATGGGGGATATGAGTAAAGCAACACCAAGTGAATTGTTTTGTCAGAGTTTTACCTTTGGAACTTTTTTGCAATTATATGTAATCTTTCACGATGGTGGATTAGTCACAGACAGTTCCTGATGACTGTCTCTCATCTTCTAGTAGGAAATCTATCTGTGATTTTAGATCTACTAAATGGAATTCAATCAACGCTCAGGTTCATAGACAATATGGTGTTTATTATAATATATTGATT